GTCTTTGATTTTCATGGCTGGTGGCTTGTCCTTTAGTGAGGAAAATCACAAGGAAATAAGTGATGATTCTTGGGAAATAATGGGGGACAAAGGGGATGGGTGATGGTTGGTTTTATTGGCCTTATATTGGGTCATTCATGGAAGGTATGTGGGGACTGATTTGTTGGGTGGAGTGTCAATAAACTCACAAAAGTCTTTTGTCCTTTTGTTATTGTTTATCCAGCCTAGGTGGGAGACACAAGGGGGACAATGGTTGGTCAATGTTGGGGAATAAAAGAGGGGTTGTTTTTGGCCCCCCTAGTTTCGGCCTTACATGGGGATAAAGAGGGGCTTGATTAGGTTTGTGGTTTGACATGAGTTTTGGTCTTTTATGTTTTAATTCAATGAACAAAATCATGTGGGGTATGTTGATGGGTTGTAGTTTCGGCCAGAGGGGGAGAAGAAGGAAGAGGAGAGGAGATTAGGGTTTTGGTGTTGTTTTGGATTTTGGGGTTTTGGTGGAGCCATCCAGGGGTACATCACTCGTCCTCGCGGGCTCCTGCCGGCCTAACCGGGCGAACGCCCTGACATGGGCAACGCTCTGCCCCAGCCTCAGTTTGGCTGACTTTCTCTGGCCTTCTTCCCTATCCCCAGCCTTTCGAAGGCGGAGTTTCGGGAAGTTGCTGGCCGGATGTTTTTTCCCTTCTTCTTCTTGTGGGCTCTGGGGACATCCCACTCTTCATCACCACTTTCTACAGAGATGCAATGACCCTATAGAGTTGTTTGGGGATGGGCGCTCAGTGGAAGGCGCGATGGACCGGCGGCGTTGAGTGCACCGGTCAAATTGACGGGGGCCACATCACTGACCACCTATGGCTGGAAAGGCGAAGGCTGTGGCACCGGCGTCTGGAATGGCGACATCACCATTGGAGTTTGAAGAGGCATCGTTCCAGCACCTGGGAGGGCGAATAGAAACATGCCAGGGAGGAATGGCATCCCCCCATTTTGTTGGCACATGGCCATGACCTGGCCAAACCCTGGGATGGCCTACAGGTTGGCCAGATCGTTCATGAACTGGGTCATGCTTGGTGGGAACGTGACCCTTGGTCTAGCGGAAGGGATGGGGATCGTGAATGGGATGACCACGCTGGGTGTTGGGACTGAGCTTAGACCCAACGAAAACGGCGGGGTTAAAATAGCCGGTAGGGTAGCAACCAAAGGGATGCTGACCCCCTCAGTGGTGGCTTGCACCTGAGCAGAGGTAGCGTTGATTTGTTGGCTTGAAGACATTTTGAGTGGTGTTTTTGTGGGTAGGTTTGTGTTCAGAGGAGAAGAAACCTTAACGGTCCCACGGGTGGTGCCAAAAATGATGGTGTAAATTACCTAACCGGGTAAACTCTACTAGACCGAGTCTAGAATCGTTTACTTGATTCGATAAAGTAAGAAACCTTAACGGTCCCTCTTTCTGAGGTTTACAATAGTTTTTATACTAGGTTTGGGGGGGACAGGACGTCGTGCACCCACGTGGAGGCACATTCTCGGATGGTTGGAGGTGATGGCCTTCGTCGTCTTGCTGCTTCGTCATCTTGCGAGAGAGACTGTGCCCTTGTCGCGTACTGGCTTGGATAGATTCCTTCAGCATCTCCCTTGATCTTCCAGTGATACTAGTCACTATAGTCCAAGTTCCTTTGGATTCTTCCTGCCGACACCTTCTAATCTTCGGAAACTGTACCGGGTAGTTCTTGAAGGTTGGATTAACTGACTTTGAGGACGAAGGGAGTGAAATTAATTTGAATATTGTAATTATAAAGCGCAAGGCCAAAATTTCTATTTTGCACAAGGCCTGAGACCGAGGAGAAATCACACTTTTTAAATTGTTTTCTGTGCGTATGAGGACATAAAGGTCATTACACATTTGATCCTCAATTATTGTATACTTGTATGTCATTACATTCTTTCATTTTTTAGTTCGATAAGGCTCACTTCAATGATCCCAATCTACTTAAGATTGAGAGGAAATTGTTTAAATGTTTAGTTGTCGCCGGGCAATATGAGATTCACGCGGAACACAAATGTTAGTTTAAGAATCTAAGGATCACACTTTGAAACAATGTGTAATTCGATTTATTGTGATATGATACAGCACAAGGAAGAGTCACACCCTAAAAGCTAGCTGTTAAGGTGGGAGAATCCTTGGCCATATAAACCCATCACCAAGTCCCCCATTTAACCAGTGGGACAATGAAATCAGCCCGTATCATGATATTCCCTTTTTCTTATAAGAGTACATAGTGATAGCTCAAGTCCCTAATTACTACCATAGGTTTAAAACATTAGTAATGGTCCAAAAATAGAACTAAAACATTGCAATTATACCTAAATGATCTTATACAAATCCTCCAATTGCTACTGCATTTAGTTAATGTTCCTCACACTCTCTTGTTCATATCATTTCTCCAGTTGTTATGATCAAAATTGCAGTTGCTGCAACAGCTGCAGCCCTGGGATTAGCTTATCTAGCTCTAACAAAACCTCGCCCTCCCAAAGTTTGTGGTTCACCATGTGGTCTTCCAGTGACCTCACCAAGGGTTAAACTCCGCCATGCAAAACATAGAGTGCTCTACTCAGCAGCTGCTGAGGAAACACCTTCCCTTCATCGTGTTGCCAATGGTAATACTAAAAACAAAGGAGAGCAGCGGGGAACCCTCCAAATTCATTTGTGCTATCTGTTTTGATGAAAAACCAGTGTCTGATAGGTTTAAATATTCCGAGTGTAACCACATCTTTTGTGTACCCTGCCTGACCAAGTATGCCGCAACCCAGATGCACCAAAACATTCTGAAGATCATATGCCCGAACCCAAATTGTTCCTCGGAATTGAAACCTATACATTTTCAGACCAGTTTGCCTCCCGAAGTTATTGATAGATGGGAAACTGTAAGATGTGAGTCTTTGATTGCTGAGTCTCAGAAGACTTACTGCCCCTTTAAGGATTGTTCGGTTTTGTTGGTGGATGATGGAGGAGAAGTTGTGACCAGTGCTGAGTGCCCATCGTGTCATCGGCTGTTTTGTGCACAGTGTCGGGTTCCATGGCATGGAATGATGACTTGTCAGGAATACCAAAAGGCAAAGAGAAGCTGCAAAAATGAAAGAGAATTGGATAGCAAGTTTTTCAAGTTGGCCGAGAAGGAAAGTTGGCAAAAATGCCCCATGTGCAAATTTTTTGTGCAGAGACATAGTGGATGTGAACACATTAGATGCAGGTTTGTGAACAAATCGAATCGAATACTAACCATTATTATTTATATTTGGAGTTTTGGCAAGTATTCGTATTCAGTTCGATTTTTTAAATATTCGTTTTCAATTCAATTAAGAAAGGAGATATATATAATTCGCTTTAGAATTTGAATTCGGGGAAAAAATATTTAAACTATTTTTTAGATGTGATTTAAATTAAAAGTATTTTTATAGGGGCTATGTGGTGCATTTAAAAATATTTTTAGGGTTTTCAATTTTTTTTAATGCAGATTATTTGTCCATTCTACCTTTGTACCTTTTTTTACGTTTAATACTTCAACAACAATCTAATAGAGTCTCACAAAAGTAGGGTATGGGTACGTAGACCTTACCTCTACTTGAATGTAGAGAGGATGTTTAATACTCCCTCCGTCCCTTAAAGTCCTTCCCTTATTGACTTTTTGAGAAATTAAGGGAGGGATATTTTGGTGTTGACTTTCCAAAAATACCCTTGATGTGATGGATAAATTATTAGTAAAAAGGTATGGTGTCATAGGTAGGGTATGAAAAAGTAAGGGGTAAAAGTGGTTTTTTAATAGATAAGGGAAGGAGTTAGTGGGACAAGAAAAAAAGAAAGGGGAAGGAGTTTAAGGGACGGAGGGAGTACTAAGTGTGCATAATTTTTTATTGAGTATTTTGATTTTTATAAATATTCAAGTGTATTCAAATATTCACTAGATCAAATAGTTATGTTTTCGTATACGTTAATATAATGAACGGAAACTACTATTGGTATTCGTATTTGGATTTGGCTTCTTTGAATAAGTACAAACAAATACAAATCGAAGCAAATTTTTTGTATCATTTACAACCCTAATGCAGGTTCTAATGATGTGCATCATTTTTATACTCCTTTCTTCTCATAAATAGGTTGCACATTTACTTTTTTGTTCGTCTCAAAAAAAGGTACCACTTTCCACATTTAGAAAAAATTGTGGTCCTTATAATTTATCTCCTTTGCATCAATTTCAACCACATAATTTCACTTTCATAATCTTCGTGCTAAGTCAAAGGTAGAAGCTTTTATTGGGACGGAGGGAGTTGCATTTTCATGGTTCTTTGACTTGTTTTTTTAAGTAATTTGTTCTTATATAGTATATACAACTTGATCATGTGCAATATGTAATTGTTCTGATAGATTTGTTTTTGTAGGTGTGGTTGCGACTTCTGCTACCATTGTGGGAAGATTTGGATAGTTGGACATGTATGCAAGAAGCGCCATTCTGCTTGAAGCTTCAGGGCACAACAGGCAAGGCAAACTAGAATATTTTGAGTTTTTAAAAGTCTCAAATCTGTCTATATTATTTTGGTTACTTTACTTGTTTTCATCTTATAAGTTTCTATATGTACGTTTGCAGACACACACACACAAACTTAGAATCTGCCTTCTATGCAATCTGTTTTTTGTTTTTTTTTGGGGATAGAGATTAAGAAATACAAAATACCAAATGAATATTATTCCTCTCTTTTTGCATGGTCGTTTTTGCGTTCATGGACAATGGGTGGTGAGGTTTGAATAGAGTACTTTCCATTAAGTATGAGCATGTTCTTTACACCTAAATTTTAGTAGAATTTGAAGTGTGAATTCTAGTAACGGAAGTCTGGAATCTGGACTTGGAGACCAGATACTATACTGAGGTCTTGCTCCTTTCACCTTATTTTAACTACTTTCAAGCTCTAATTTCATTGTTTTTCTCCCTTTCCAAGTTTCCATTTCAGGTAAACATGATTTTATGTAGGAATTATATCGATTTCGATATTAGAAGTAAGCATCTGTCGGTGAAACTCACCATGCTACATAGGTAAACAAGTGATCTGAGATTTGAATTAAACTTCTTATAATGAAATCGTCCAATTGAGCACATAACCAATCCAACCACAATTCAACGTTTCATTAATAATGTTAATCCTTCTTTCACATGATTTTAGTTGGACATGTCTTTGTAAATGATGCCAAAGTAAGAGCCGCAAAAATTCAGACTGTCTCGAAACGAAGATAGATTGAAAGACTTAAACTAACTGATATTGGGAACCAATCCAGACAAATTGTTATATGAGAAGTCAACTGAAGCATTTTTGCAAATGAAGATCAAATGTTCCCACACGTGATTTCGAGAAAGATTTAGATAGTTTAAGGACTCCATACCTGTGATTTCGGTAGGAATTTCACTAGATAAATAATTATTTGATAAATCCATTGCCTTCAGCTTCTTCTAAGACCCTTTTCCTGCAGTATAACTCCGGGGAAATGGTTGCCGCTGAGATTGAAGTGACCGAAATACTTCATCTAGTAGATCTTAGCAGGAATGTTCTGCCTGCTGAAATATGAAGTATGTCACCCACCTCAAACTCGCTGGCAACAATTTTACTAGAGTAATACCGTGGAAAATAGGATATTTGAAGAGGCTAAAGGCAATTGGTTTATCAAATAATTATTTATCCGTTGAAATTTCTACAGAGATCACTAGTATAGAGTCCTTAAACTATCAAAATCTTTCTCAAAATTACCTAAGTGAGAGCATTCCAACTTCATTTGCCAAAATGTTGAGTTTAACCTCAATTGACTTCTCATATACTGTAACAATTAGTCTAGATTGGTTCTCAATGTCGGCCAGTTCAGTTCTTTCAATCTATCTTCATTTCGAGGCAATCTAAATCTCCGTGGCTCTTACTTTGACATCATTTGCAAAGACATGTCCAGCCAAACTAATGTGAAAGAGGGATTATCATTGTCAAAGAAACTTTAAATTGTGGTTGGATTGCTTACAAGGACCTCTGAGCGAGTGTTTCCCAGGTCACTACCCTGAGATGGTGTTTTCTAGAGTTTTACCTTCAAGCTAGTGTTATTTCTAGAGTATATCTCCAGGCTGGTGTTTTTGGAGTTTACTCTCGAGGTGGTGTTACTTGCGCAGTATATCTCCGAGTTGGTGTTATACTCGAAGTTGATATTCGATAAAGAATATCTACTTGCTTTCAAATTCATTTGGCTTAATGAGGAAGAGTAAATGATGCTTGTTATATTGCTATTACTATCTCCGTCCCACTGTCTTTGTCCACTTTTGACTTTTGGAACTGTTCATCTATACACTTTGACTCATCAAATTCTCTCAATGTGTAAGCCTAAATATAGTGATGTGCAATCTTGTTTGATTTGTCTTAACATATAGATTATTAATATATAATTTCTATAATTTTTTAATATACAAATTACAAGATAAAATGGATTAAAGAAGTGCATTGGATGGTGTGCCAAAAGGTAAGTGGACAAAAACAGTGGGACGGAGGGAGTATATGTTTATAAACGTGCTGCATCAGTTTCTCTTTTGTTGACCACTTGCAAGTAATTTAACTCATGGAGCTATGCATTCTTCTAGCCTCCCTACTTACGAGTAGGGGCAAGGTTTGCGTACACACACCCTTCCCAGACCCTACTGTTGTGGGATTCACCTGGATTGTTGTTGTTGTTGTGAGCTATGCATTCTTCTAGAGGATGATGATAAAGTAAAGAGAAAGGATTTCGGTGCAAGCCAGTCCATTGTTTCCAAACTATGTTAACTTTATTTGCTTCCGCAATGTTAAACTCCAATACGTTTTCAATAATTAAATATTTTGGTCTTAAAGTTTAAATGGTTCAATCTATTTTAAATATGAATTAGTATGAGTATTCCACACCGAACTATTAGCAAACAAATTATCTTAATCATCTATTTAAGGGCGATACCCCTGTTGATTTGTAAAATAAGCATCAATACTCTCTCTGTTTTCAAAACTCATTTCTAAAGTCTCTGTAGTTTCAAAATGTTGCATCCGTGCCCCCTCTGATCATTTTCCGGTCATTTTTCCGGCGAAGAAGGGGGGCATTGGTGCATATTTTTTAAACCATAGGGGGTATCAGTGCTGATTTTTATTACTCGCATATTTTTTGTTTTTTTCCATTTTTTCCTTTTTTTGTTTCATTTATTAATAAAGGTTTTTTTAAATTTTTTTTTAATAATGTTCTTAAAATTTAAAGTTATTTTTGTTTGAAAAAAATAACATATAATGCATATGTCCTCAAATTAACAATTTTTGTTTTTTCTGGAAAAAAGTAAATTTTTTAAGAATTTCGAAAAAATGAGGAATAAAATAAGAAACAAATTAATACAAAAATAAAAATAAATATCGTTTTTGGACGTCTTAATTCTATGGACTTTTTTAGGCGTGTCCAATTTTTTTTGTATAAGACTTTTTTTGCGTATTTTAATTTTTTTATTTCATTTTTCCATATTTTTATTTTTTTTATTCTTTGTTTTTTTGAACTTTTGAAAAAATTATTCTAAGTAACAAAGAGTAAAAATGTTTAATTTGAGATAGATTTAATATATGTTAATTTTTTTTATTTTTATTTTCATTTTAAACACAAAGAATTTGAAAATTTTTGAAGCATTATAAAAAATTGAAAATATATTTAAAAAAATCTAGGAAAAGGAAAAAGAGATAGAAAATATTTAAAAAAAAGGGAAGAATAATAAACGAAAATAAGAAATGAGCACGAATGCTCCCTATGGTTTAAAAATTACGCGCCAATGCTCCCTCTTCGCCGGAAAAATGATCAGAGGGGGTGTGGGTGCAACGTTTTGAAACCACGGGGACTTTAGAAATAAGTTTTGAAAACAGAGGGGGTATTGGTGCCAATTTTCCAAACCACAGGGGATACCGAAGCTATTTGGTCTAGAGCCCTAGAATAATCCGGATCAGATTGTTAAATTTCACCAAGCTCTTTCAATTTTTTTCAAACTGCTTTTACTTTTTCCAAAACGTCTTTTAATTTCATTAAGGGTCCGTTTGAAAGGGAGAAAATGAGAAATAATTTCTGGAAAATGACTTCTAGAAAAAGATATATTTTCCAAAACACATTTTCTATTTTTCTAGTGTTTGGTTACAATAGGGAAAAACAACGGCGAGGGAGAATGCGAATCGGCAGCAGAGGAAATGGAAATTTGTGGCGACTTGGAAGATTTCGGAAATCTAAAAAATGAAATCAGAACAAAATTCAGAGTCCTTTCTCGAAGTATTTCAACTTGCCGTGGGGATTATTAACACTACAGTAGTGGAGGCAGGTCTCCATGAAAACCTCTTTGGTTTTAATGGTGGCATCGATAGAGAGCAGAGATATCGACGGCGGAGGAGGGTGGCAATGATGGTGGTGAAGGAGAGCAGTGATAGCGTCATTGAAGGAGTGCGGCTATGGCAAAAAGATTGAGAAGTGATTCACGATGGAGAGAGCCGCCGGGGGAAATTGACTTCTCGAAAAAATTTGGGAGGTGTTTTTCCGAATAATTGGGCTCATTTTTCTTTGACGCAACTTGTTTTCCATTTTACTTCTCTCCCAAACACAAGAAAATGAGATAAATGACTTCAAGAAGTCATTTTCTCCTTTTCCAAACGGACCCTAAATTTCTTCAAACACATTCCACAAAAAATTCACTTTATATATACATGTCTTTAATTCATCGGTCCAAAAGTTAGAATCGCCCACCCAAGGCGCCCCCACCCCCTTGCCCGACAGGAATGGTGGAAGAAGTAAATCATGGTGACTCAGTCGGCCAAGAACGCTAGACCCGTGCCCACCGCGCACAAGGAGTCTCCTCACCCTTTATAGGATTTTTGGATAGCTCCCACACTGCCGCTTGCGGGACTCGATCCCTGGTCATCGGTCCAAGATTTCACGCTCTTGACCAACTGAGGTGCCCATGCGGGCACATGTCTTTAGTTCATGATATAACACATATGATTAATCATAAATTCATTAGCCATTAGAGCACATATTCAATGGGATTCATCATATAGGGAATTGGGGCTTCCCACGCTTTGAATTTTTTTAGGAAAAAAGGACGAGTCTCATTCCCGATGGTCCCTCAGACTCGACTTGATGGTCACTAGAAGAAGTAAAATAAGACTTTAATCGCAAATTGGTGACAGAGAGTGGAATGTGCATTTGGTACTCGTAGAAACCCTATGCTAAGAATAATTTTCGCCCAGCGCAGTTGCTAGGATTCGAAATCGGATTTACCTCCTTGGCAGTCTCTGCCTTGCCAACTGTGCAACGCCTACCGGTTATTTTTTAGAGGTTCGAGGATACATAGAGAGACCGTGTACCGTACTGTCTGGACGCTACCGAGGCCCGGACCTGGCACGCCGGTTACTACACCGGTCTTGCTCAGTATAAAATAAAAAAATAATAAACCCGGAAGAGGGGCCCGGAAGAGGGTATGCCTGCAAGAGGGCTGGACCTGGAAGAAGGTTCGAACCGTACTTACACGGGCCCATAAGGTTTAACCGGTGTCGAGGAATCAGCCGAGACTGGCAAACTGATTGGGGACTAAAAGATGCCCATTAAAAGAAATAGAAAAGGGATCGTCCACCGTGGCGCATCCTATTTCCCCCTTCTCAGGGAAGACTTGAACGGGGGGGTGAGCTAAAGCCTTCCCGGGATAGTAAACATCAAAGGGCCATTAAAAGACTTAATTACCTGGAAGAGGGAGCCCTGGAAGAGGGGGCCCTGGAAGAAGGGTGCATTTTGGGCCTTGGAGAGGGCTCGAAACCATTCCACATGGTTAATTCTCCAATGTTGATCTCGCCCGACCAGCAGCATTATCTTATGGGAAGACTGAGACACAGGCCCGACCTGGCACGCTGGTTACTACACCAGTCTTGCTCAGTATAATAAAGAAAATATGTGACCCAGTCGAACTGGTACACTGGTCTCACATCGGTCTTACACATATTTTCCAATAAGCCTAAGCCCAATCGAATTGGGTACACCGATTGCACATCGGTTTCGGCAAAAAAGTGAGCAAAGCTCATATCGGGGATGCCCGATTCATTTAAGCCCTCTATTTGAGGCACATTGATCGAAGATGGTCTCTGCGAGACATGAAGATATTTACATCAGTTAGCCGGGCTAACACTGATCTTCAACAAAGCTACTGCATCACATTCAATTCTTATTAACTAACGTCGATGTCGTCTGTATACTAGTTTTGCCACGCATCGTTTGCTTGACTCGTATTAACACCGACCTCGACGAAATAACTTTTGAAGCATAGTTGCTTCATCAACTAACATCGCTCTCGTTACGATAATTATTCGCGCGAATTTTAATCACCTAACACCGAGCTCCTAGGTAAAAATGATAATTTTTTGAGCACGGCATATGCCGGTCAAAAAAAAATATTGTACATATTATTTTTTGCAGGAAAAATATCTGATTCAAGAAATTAGAGAAGTAATGAAGACTCGGAGGACTAGCAATATCAACCGGTCAAGAATTCAAAGTACGAAAACTGAAGATAGCACTCGGAGGACTTGTTTACTTTTTTAAGTTGATGATTCTCACAACTTAAAAAAGTGGAGGACTTCTTGATGGGAAATAATACGTGGTTCGGCCCACATTTCTCAATTATTTACGGAGAACAGTCAAACCGGGCCTGTTTAGTAAAATAAAGGAATAAAAGAATATTCCTCCGAAGATGCTCCCCTCCTCCCTATAAAAGAAGAGGTTGCCTAATTGAGAAGTGAGGCCAATTTTTCTTCTCCATGCCCATTTACTCTTTCTCTCTCTAGGTTATAATATATTTTCTTCTTCTTCAAGAGCTCAAAAGCTCCATTAATGGCTTCCTAGCCTAAATTATGTACCGTGTACACACCCCCGATATTAATAAAAATCCCCCGTTGGCAAGGTACCGCCAAAAAAGGCCCGTGGTTTTCTTCCGATTTGGGTTTCCACGTAAAAATCCTTGTGTTTATAGGTTGGTGTATTTTTTAGACTAGTTTATCGTTTTTCCGGGCAAAAACGATACACCGGTCGATAATTTACACCATTAGGTGTCAATTTTCCAAACCACAGGGGATATCGGAGCTATTTGGTCTAGAGTAATGCGGATCAGATTGTTAAATTTCACCAAGCTTTTTCAATTTTTTTCAAACTGCTTTTACTTTTTCCAAACGTCTTTTAATTTCATTAGGATCCCTGTAAATTACAATTAAGAACAATAAGAAGAGTGAAGAATCAATAGAGAAGAAATCAGAAATATATCATATTTATCTTCCTAATTTCTGAGTAGTTTTTTCTCTCATTTTATAACACGTTATCAGCACGAATTTGCTCAAAATTCCAGAATCCTTGTTCTTCTCAGAATGTATATTTATTTAATTTTCTTCATAAACAAACTAAAATATTTTCTTAAAAACTATGAGAAGTATGCTCTGTGATTGCTTAAAGTAGGGATCCTTCACATCAGAAACATATAGTTATAAAAATAAAATTAAATAAATTAAAAGAAATAAGTTTCCTCATAATTCTAAAGAATCATATTTTTGATAAATTAGAATAAAGAATAGAACATAATATGGACTAGTTAAAATTGAAAAACAAAATTAATTTCATTTTTTTAAACTACTTTTGAATTCTGCAAGCTTAGATGTAAAAAGTATAATAATAATTTAGATAAGAAATATGAACACCTTACCTGTAGAAACAATACTCTGTATGTATGCTTCTTCAAAAAAAAAATTCCTATCTTTATTTTTTTCTCCGGCGTGCCATAGTAAAAGAAAGAGATGCTCTCAAAAATCACTTTTGCTTGATAATAATAATAATAATACTGAGTATATCATATACGGAGTAAGAATTGATGAATTATAGCACTATGGGAACATGTTTTGTCTTCTTCCATTGTCCATTTTGATTCCTTATGTACTTGCAAGTATTTTACCCCATACATTTTTTTCCTTACATATTATTTTTTTTATATACGAAGTATTATATAATAATAAAAATAAAAATAATAATAATAATGCAATAAAACATCTTATTCCTTGATTTGTCTTCTTCTATTTGGCTTTGAATAATTTTTGACAAAAAATTTAAATAAGTGGGATATCATTTAAAATTATCAATTCACAATTTCATACACAAATAAATATACACTGTACTTGTTCTTTTAAATTTGAATACTCTTGATTGAGAATGTTTTTTTCGTACTCACCAATCTATAACCTATAAAAAAATAACTCATAAATTTAAATTTATTACTTTGTAGTTTCAAATGGCCAACATCACCAAAAGAGAATTCGACATTCTTGATTTATCCGGTCAAAAGTACCTGAAATGGAGGGTTGATGCACTTGCTCACCTTAAGGCTAATGGCCTCGAAAACACAATTGCTGAGAATAATACATCATCATCTCAGCAAAAGGCAAAAGCCATAATTTTCCTTCGTCACCATCTTCATGAAAGTTTAAAATCTGAATATTTACTGGTGGAAGATCCGAAGGAATTATGGGATAATCTCCAAGAGAGATATGGCCATCAACAAAAGGTCTTACTACCAAGAGCTCAATATGAATGTATCAATCTAAGATTCCAAGATTTCAAATTTGTTTGTGACTATAATTCTGCTATTTTCAAAGTCACGTCCACATTAAAATTATGTGGACATAATATCACTGATCATGATATGTTGGAGAAAACTTTTTCCACCATGTATATGTCAAATGTGATATTGCAGCAACAATACAGAGAAAGGGGTTTTAAAAAGTATTCTGAGTTAATCTCAATATTACTTGTTGCTGAGTAGAATAATGAGCTCTTAATGAAAAATCATAACATGAGGCCCACCGGTTGTACCCCTACAAATTTTGGTCATCCAGAATCAAATGTTGTCCAAGGTGGTGCACGTGGACATTTTAAACGTGGCCGCGGAAATAACCGAAACAAAGGGCCGAACAGGAGCTATAAAAATCCAAATGGATCATCCTCCAAAGAAAAGGGAAAATTCAAACCACCACAGGCTAAAACTCATGAAAGGCCAAAACCAAGTGGTGAATGCTACAAATGTGGCATAAAAGGACATTGGGCTAATGAATGTCGAACGGCAAAACACTTGGTAAAATTATACCAAGCTTCCACAAAAGGAAAAGGAAAAAATGTGGAGGCTAATTATGCTGATGATATCAACCCAATTTTGCCTAAATTTGACGTGTCCGATTTCTACATGGATGATGCTGAAATTGGTGATGAAGTGGCCTTTGGTGGAACAACTACTGTTTAAATATTTTAATTTACGTTGTTATGGTGTGTTTACTTTTAAAATAAATGTTTAAAATCTGTACTTTAATTTTCATGTGTACTTGTATTATTATGTCTGTTCTAAAAAAATTATAATAAAATGTATGACATTTGTGTTAATTATCTTGAACTTATATTTATTTATATATTTATTTATATTCAAGATATGGAGATAACTGCTTATGGCTCCAGTGGCAAAGAACAATGTCTAATTGACAGTGCCACAATGCACACCATTTTGAGAAACAAAGAATATTTTTCTCAAATGACATTGATGGAAACTAATGTTAATACAATATCTGGTGTTGCAAAGCTCATTGAAGGGTCTGGAATGGCTTGTTTAATCCTTCCCCAAGGAACAAAATTAATTATCAAAGACGCATTATATTCGAGCAAATCCCGAAGGAATTTATTGAGCTTTAAGGATATGCGTCAAAATGGTTATCATATTGAAACCATGACAGAAAATAAAAAGGAATACTTGTGTCTAACGACAACCAAATATGGCAATAAAATTCTTTGTGAAAAGATGCCAGCGTATTCCTCGGGGCTATATTATACTCACATTAGTCCCGTTGAAGTGAATGTTGTCTCTAATAAAAAATTAGATGACCAGAAAACATTCATTTTGTGGCATGATCGTTTGGGTCATCCTGGCAGTGTAATGATGCACAAAATAGTTCAAAATTCACTTGGACATCCATTGAAAAATGTAAGGATTCCAAGATCAATTGATTTTCCATGTGTTGCCTGCTCTCTTGGAAAGATGATTGTCAGGCCATCTCTAAATAAAATTGGAGTTGAATCTCCTGCATTTTTAGAAAGAATTCAAGGAGATATTTGTGGGCCAATTGCCCCAGCATGTGGACCATTTCGTTATTTTATGGTGTTGATCGACGCATCAACACGTTGGTCACATGT